TAATTTTCTTTGCGTAATTTATTTCTAGTTTCATACCTTTGTGGTTCAAGAAGCTGTTTGGTACAATTTCAATCCTTCTGAATTTTCTGAAACTCTTTTTGTGGCCTAGTATATGATCTATTCTTGAAAATGTTCCATGTGCACTTGAGAAGAATGTGTATCCTGCTGCTTTTGGATGGAGTGTTCTGTACATGTCTGTTAGGTCCTTCTTTTCTAATGTGTTCAATGCTTCTGTGTCCATACTTATTTTCTGTCTGGTTGATCTGTCCTTTGGAGTGAGTGGAGTGTTGAAGTCTCCTAAAATGAATGCATTGCATTCTATTTCCTCCTTCAATTCTGTTAGTATTTGTTTCACATATGTAGGTGCTCTTGTTTCGGGTGCTAAGATACTTATAATGATTATATCCTCTTGTTAGACAGGCCCCTTTATCATTATGGAATGTCCTTTGTCTTAGGACTTTCTTTGTTTTGAAGTCTGTTTTGTCTGATACAAGTACTGCAACTCCTGCTTTTTTCTCCTTATTAGTTGCATGAAGTATCTTTTTCCATCCTTTCACTTTCAGTCTGTGTATGTGTTTGGGTTTGAAGTGAGTCTCTTGTAGTCAGCATGTAGATGGGTCTTGTTTTTTTTTTATCCATTCAGTGATGCTATGTCTTTGATTGGTACATTCAGACCATTTACATTTAGGGTAATTATCGATAGGTATGTACTTAGTGCCATTGTATGCCTTAGATCCGTGGTTACCAAAGGTACAAGGGTAACTTCTTTACTACCTTACAGTCTAACTTAACTCATAGTATGCTATTCCAAGCACAATCTAATGGCCTTTTTCCCCTCCTTTTTCTTCTTCCTACATTTTTTATATATTAGGTGTCATACATATTCTGTATTCTTTGTCTATCCCTTGACTGACTTTGGGGGTAGTTGATTGACTTTTATATCTGCTTAGCAACTAATCGTTCTACTTTCATTCCTGTGGTTTTATTTCCTCTGGTGACAGCTAGTTAGCCTTAGGAACACATCCATCTATAGCAGTCCCTCCAAAATACACTGAAGAGATATTTTGTGGGAGTTAAATTCTCTCAGCTTTTGCTTATCTGGAAATTGTTTAATCCCTCCTTCAAATTTAATTGATAATCGTGCCAGGTAGGGTATTCTTGGTTCAAGGCCCTTCTGCTTCAATGCATTAAATATATCATTCCACCCCCTTCTGGCCTGTATGGTTTCTGTTGAGAAATCTTATGATAGCCTTATGGGTTTTCCTTTGTAGGTGATCTTTTTTCTGTCTGTGGCTGCTTTTAATACTGTGTCCTTGTCTTTGAACTTTGCCATTATAATTATTATGTCTTCGTGTTGTCTTCCTTGGGTTCCTTGTGTTGGGAGATCTATGCACCTCCTTGGCCTGAGAGACTATCTCCTTCCCCAGATTGGGAAAGTTTTCAGCAGTTAACTCCTCAAAGACATTTTCTATCCCCTTTTTCTCTCTCTTCTTCTTCTGGTATTCCTATAATGTGAATATTTTTCTGTTTAGATTGGTTGCACAGTTCTTTCAATGTTCTTTCGTTCCTAGAGATTCTTTTTTCTCTCTGTACCTCAGCTCCTTTGTATTCCTCTTCTCTAATTTGCATTCCATTTACTGTCTCCTCTACTATATCTAATCTGCTTTTAAATCCCTCCATTGTATGTTTCATTTCTGATAGTGTATTCCATAATGATTGAATCTCTGTCTGGAATTCTTTCCTGAGTTCTTGAATATTTTTCTGTACCCCATGAGCATGTTTATGATTTTATTTTGAAATCTCCTTCAGGAAGATTGATGAGTTCAGTTTGACTTGACCCTTTTTCTGGTGTTTGTGGTATTTTGGTTTGAACTAGTTTCTTAGACATTTCATATTTGTATGTGGCACCCTCTAGTGCCCAGAAGTTCTACTCTTTGGAGCTGCTCAGCCCCTGGAATGATGTCAGGGGTTGCGTGGTAGTGTCGCTGGTGCCTCGGGGGTAGGAAGAGCTTTTGCTGCTTCCCTGCTGCTTGGCCTGCCTCCACTGCCTGACTCAGTGTGCTGAGTACACAGGTATAAACTTCTATGCTTTGGGTTTGCAGGTGCTGTAGGCAGGGCTTCTGTCTGGCTGGCCTGACACCAGGGCAGGGACTGCTGGTTTGCAAGGTGGTGCTGTCAGGCCAGGAGAAAGGCGCAGCAGGTTGCATATCATGGTGGGGGTTCTTGGAGCTGCTAGCCAGTCAGGGGGATGGAGCGCCTGAAGCTCCTGAATGTTCCCAGGCTGCTGTGCAGAGTGCTCCTGGATGATTTCATCCACCTGTCCTTTCTCTTGAGCAGTAAGCTCTGCGTAATTCTTGCCCTTTTAGCAGCCTGCTGACTCTTAGGAAGTTTCTCTGACCTCCTGCCTTTCTTTTGTCTCAGAGGTACCAGATGTGGATTTATGTTTTCCAAAAGTGGCTGGAATCTCAGTCTCTCCAGGTGTTCTGCCTGTCTTAGCTTTCCAACCCCAGTAATCTCCAGAGCACCATGCAATGTAGGTTCGTGCTCCCAGAGTAGATCTCCAGGGCTGGTTGTTCAGGAGTCCTAGGCCTCTACTCCCTCCCTGCTCCGTTTCTCTTCCTCCTGTGAGCTGGGATGGGGGAATGGCCTGCATCCTGCTTGATCATAGCTTTGGTCCATTACGCTGATCTGTTAGGTCTGTTCTCTTCTCCAGGTGTATGCTTTCTACCACAGCCTTCTTTCCTGTTGTTCTTTCAGGATTATTGGTATTAATTATATTTTTGTATGTTATGTGGTTTTGGGAGGTCCTCAGTCTCACCTCTCACATCGCCATCATTAATCATTGGTGTATCTTTTTAAAATACTGAAACGATGTTTAGTAGTTTTGTCAGTGGTTTTCCTACATTGCTGTGACGGTCGTATTTTCCACCCTTCCTGTCCACACACACATTGTTTCATTGATACATTACATTGCTTGATATACTTAGGTTTAACCATGTGGTATAAATTCCACATGGTTATGGTGTATAAGTTTTTTAATATGTTGGATTTGTGTTGCTAGTATTTTGTTGAATATTTCTACATCTTAAGTCAGTTTGGTAATTTATATATATTTAGGAAATTGTTCATTTCTCTACGTTATTTAATTTGTGTTTAGTTTTTAGTTTTCATGACATTCTCTTATAATCCTTTTCATTTCTGTAAGATGAGTTGTAATGTCATCTCTTTCATTTCTGGTTTTAGTTATTTGCTTTTTTTTCTTTTTGTCAGTCTAGCTGAAAGTTTTTCAATTTTCTTCTTTTCAAAGAACCAACTTTTTGGTTTCATTGATTTTTTTTTTCTCCCCATTTTTCTATCTGTTTTGTTTACCTTTTCTTTAATCTTCATTATTTCTTTCTCTTTTCTTCTTGGAGTTTAGTTTGCACTTCTTTTTTAGTTTCTTAAGGTGTAAAGGTAGGCTGTTGATTTGAGATTTTCTTTAATGTAGGCATTTACTGCCATCAGTTGTCCTCTGAGCACTGCTTTCACTGTACCTCATAAATTTTGGTTTATTGTATTGTCACCTTCATTCACCTCTAAGTATTTTCCAATTTCCTTTTTTCTTTCTTTTTTGGCCCATTGGTATTGTAAGAAGAATGTAAAGTTTAATTTATACATATTTATGAATTTTACAATGTTCTTCTGTTACTGCTGTGTAGGCGCATTCCATTTTGGTTGAAGAAGATACTTTGTATAATTTCACTTTATACATTTATTGAGACTTGTTTTGATCCTAACATATGGTCCATCCTTGAAAATCTTCTGTGTGTACTTGAGAAGAATTTGTATTCTGCTATTTTTGGGTGTTCTGTATGTTTGGTAGGTCTAGTTGGTTTATAGTTTGTTCAAGCTCTTTATTTCCTTATTGATCTTCTTTGTTCAATTTTCAAAGAACCAACTTCTTTTCAAAGAAGTGGAGTACTGAAGTCTTTGGTTATTATTGTAGAGCTGTCTGTTTCTCCCTGCAGTTCTGTCAATGTTCATGTATTTTCAGGCTCTTGTTGTTTGTTGTGTATCTATTTACAATCATCTTTTTGATGAATTGGCCTTTTTAAAAAATCAGTGTTTAATGCCCTTTGTCTCTTTTCATAGTTTTTGGCTTACTGTATTTTGACTACAAAATGACAGAATAAGTCCTTCATTATCATAATTAAAGTGTAAATGGGTTAAACTTTCCAAGCAAAAGGTAGAGATTAGCTTCTTAACTTTTGAGTCTTTAAATTTGAGCCAAGCAATGTTTTAACTTATTTTTGGAAATTGTCCAGTGCTGTGGGCTTGCTGACATTGGATGAGTAGGAAACCTACTGAACATTAAAAGTGTTTTGACAGTAAATGAATGAATTTTGTCGTTTTCTTTTTATAGTATTGATATATGCATGTGATTACGCATCCAGACAGTGTCAGAGTCTCAATAACCAGTATTTTAACCACTACCCTTTTAATACCTGTTACCTCCATTTGTATACCACTTTACCTTCTTTTCCATTTTCTTCTTTAGGTTTATTTTGGTTACTTTCTAGGAATGCTTTTTTCTACTTGTATATTTTCTGTTCACATTTTACCTATTATTCAGACACACTGCCACTCTCCTTCCTTTGATGCTTTCCTTCATAGGCATCTTCCTCTGATGGCAAGACACTATTACTGAGGGTTTTCTGTATCTTTGCACCATGATTAGCATTTAATATGTACTGCTTTGGTTTTTGGTTTCACAGTATTTAAAAGACTTTTGGTTCTTGAAAAGAATTTTAAAGGATTTGACATTTTCATAGCTAGAAGAAGAATTTGTCACATAGTCTTTAGTTAAAAAGGGTGAAATAAAATCGTTTATATGCCTTTAAGAACCTCATAATAACATGAGTGATTTGGGGGTAGTTTATGTAAAATGTTGTAGGACAGGCTTCATTGTGAGGCTTAAAAAGGAAATACAAATAAAAATGTCACAAAATCATTTTTATCAGGTATCTGAACTCAGGACAGGAGCTGCAGAAGGACTAGCAAAGCTGATGTTCTCTGGGCTTCTGGTCAGCAGCAAGATTCTTTCTCGTCTCGTCTTGTTGTGGTACAATCCTGTGACTGAAGAGGACGTTCAACTTCGGCATTGCCTAGGCGTGTTCTTCCCCATGTTTGCTTATGCCAGCAGGTATTTCGTCAGATTGATCAGTAGAAATCTGACTTGAAGTTAAATTCAGACTCTGTGTGAATTGTATCTACGTATGATTTTGTTGATAGTCTTTCTTCAGTGTTAAGTCATGAAATGAGAAGAACTTCACTAGATTTTATCTTGCTGAATATCTGGCTCTTTCCTAGATGAAAATGCACTATATCTTGATAGGGTGAATTTTATACTCTTTATTTTTGAGAATACTGCTCTACCTTTGCCAACAAACTTTCGAATTGCTTTTCAATAGGGCTAATCAGGAATGCTTTGAGGAAGCCTTTTTACCAACTCTGCAGACACTGGCCAGCGCCCCTGCGTCTTCTCCATTGGCAGAAGTAGAGGTTGCTAATGTTGCTGAGCTGCTTGTGGACTTGACGAGACCGAGTGGCTTAAATCCTCAGGCCAAGCACTCTGAGTATCAGGTGGGTGAGTATGTCTGATTAATGACCTATGTTCTCTAGGACTCAGTGAGCCTTCAGATGTTGGCTTACCTGTTTCTAATACCAGAGAGAATTCAAAGAATGAAACTTGGCTTAAGCTTATTATTTTAATTCAAAGAAGATATGTTAACTGCAAACTCCTAAGAATTCAACTTAAGCTGAGTTTTTAATTCTTAATTGATCAAACTTGTCACCATATTGAAATTAATGTTTTAATGATTTGAAGTGCCTCCTACTTACAGGTATTTAGTGAGTGTATACTCTTTAAGTCACTGTGTTACATGCTATGGGAAAGAAGATTACAATGGATATTGAGGCAAAATAGAGTAAGAGTCACTTAGTTAGCTGCTAGGTGATTTAGGATGTTAGAAGAGGGCAAGGTTCATGGGGTATGGGTGAAGAGTACAGCATTACTAGTTTTAAAACTTGTGGAGTGAAATTCAGTTAGGTCTTATCTAGATTTCTGGAGTGGTTTGGATAGAGAGAAAATGACTTAGTAAAGGTGATTACAGATATCTGGTTGTTCAAGTCATGTTGGAAAACTAGGAAAGTCATTCAGGCTAAGGATCCTGAATGGGCTTGTTGGGACAGAACATTAGGGCTGGGAATTTGGAGTTGGCCTTACTTGCAGTGAGTACAGAGGGCATATAATGAAGGGGTAAAATGAAGGGGCTGATGTGATGAAAGTTACTTATTAGGAACATTAGTTTGGTGGTCAGTATCATTATATGAGGTAAATTTGTGTGAAGAACAGAAAAACTTTTGTTGAACAGTTAAAAATCAGAGTAATTAGGATAGAAAAGCTTGTAGAAAAAGTAACAAAATGTAGTCAAAAGTAGAAAGAATAGTAAAAATTGAAATAGAAAAAAAATTATGAATACACAAGCCTAGAAGAAAGGGCTTTGAGAGGCAAGGGAGATGGTAGTCCAAGATAACTCTAAGAGTGGGTGACAGGAGATTTCAAAGAAGCTGATGACATACTTAACTAGGGAGTTCTCTCATGATCAGCACCTTGGAGGAGTGAGGGAAATGGGTTGCAACAGAGGAAGCAGTTGAACTGTCATGCAGTCTTAGGTGCCAGCTGATCCCATAGAAAGTTCCAGGACTGGGTAGGCCTTTGAGTTATCCAGAATTGAAACAAGGCTGAGCTGTTGTACCTGTACATCTACCAGTCATCATGTATGCACTAACCCTGGAGGAGGAGGTATGACCTTTGGCAGGGCTCAGTGTCTTTGACTTGGGTCAGTTCTCTGTCTGGGAACTCTTGGCCTCCCGAACTCATAGTATGGGAAGACGAATGCTTCAGAAATGGCAGATCTAGGCCCTAACCACAGCACCTACTATAGGAAAAAGGGAAGCTCATTTTGAAAGGAATATGTTGAGTTTGGTTTAGGTATTTTGCATTTGGGATGACAACATTTAGCTGGAAATGTTTGTTAGGTGTGTAGGCCTGTATTGTTATACCACTTTCAATTTACAAAGTTTTCCCTCTTGATTTTGTAGGCCTTAACAGTTCATGACAATTTGGCAATAAAAATTTGCAATGAGATCTTAACATGTCCACACTCACCAGAAATTCGGGTTTATACGAAAGCCCTGAGTTCTTTAGAACTCAGTAGCAATCTTGATAAAGATCTTTTGGTTCTCTTGAATGAGATTTTGGAGGTAAGGTAGTTTTGAATTACTCTTCATTTGTATATATTTTTATCAGAGTAGAGTTTGCATGTTTGTATTAAATTATTAATGTTAGCATATTGTGACTTTCTGCTCATTTGATGTATTTCCTTCATAAATGTAATGGGGTTTTTAGAATGCTTTTAAACAACTTGATATCAGTATATAGCTTCTTTGAAGGAAGATTAGAAAATGTTATATTTCTTTTAAATGTTAATGATTTTCTATTACAGCAAGTAAAAGATAGGACATGTCTGAGAGCTTTGGAGAAAATCAAGATTCAGTTAGAAAAAGGAAATAGAGAGTATGGTGAGCAAACTGCAGCGGAAAAGGATGACAACATGACTACGACTGATTTTCAAAATGAAGATGGTAACAACATAGTAACCTGGATATTTATAATTTTGGCCTTTTGATCTTTACTGAGACACATTGTTTCTCTAATGTGGTTAAATTTCATAAATGAAAGAAAAATTAGATTCTAATTAATCTTGGGAAAGTGTATTACTGATAAGTATTTACTTTCATAGTTTTTGTGTGTACATTTTTTACCATATGAACATGCATACCATCTTAGGAGATTGGCTTGCTTACTTTGCAATATTCACATTTTTTGGAACAGATTTATGATAAATTTTCAATAACTGCTAATGGGACTAGTTGTCATTTCTGTTTTATATTTCTGGGAAAAATATTTAAAATATTTTATGTGGCTATTTTTAGTTTATATTGTTTTTATTTCCTTTAATAGAAAAGAATAAAGTATATACCACTCCTCTCAAGGATATAAAAGCAACCCAAGCATCAAAATCCACTCAGCAAAAGACTAACAGAGGTAGTAATATTGATTAACTTTATAGATAAAAATTTTTAATTTCTTAGGTATCCTTAACTTCCTTTTTAATTCTTCCAGCTACTAGGTCTTGCTTTGTATCTAAAAGATTATAATATCTGTGTTGCTCTAAGTGCTTTTGATTGAAAGAAATATGCAAAACATCATGTTGCAAAGGACTTTTTGGGTTAAATTAAGATTTTATTATCAAATGATCAATAATAATTTTATCAGTTATTTGTATTCTATCCTTTATCTGATTAAGTATTTTTGTCCCATTTATCCCTTCAGTGTTTTTCTGGGTTTTTGTTTTCCTTTTTCCCATTTCATTTCATATATTCCCCAACATAAGTTATGTCCCAAGGGATATCCAACAATAGGGGATTTGTTGGAATAAAGTAAATGGTTGTTAGGGGATCACTTGGAAAAAAACCTTAAATTCAAGATTTTTTAATTGCTTTATTTATTACAAAAGCAGTGCATGCTTATTACAGAAGAATCAGAAAATACATCCAAGCAAACTAATATAAAAACACTAATAATGCCACCCATGAGCCAATCATTATTTTAATATTTGAAAAATATTTTTTGAGGTCCTTCTCTATGCAGATATTTTCCTAAATGGAATCATCTGGACATAATATTGTTTTGTACTCAATCAGTTATTTAAATGCTAATTGCTGAATATTGTCCAAATTAGTCCCATATTGTTGGATGTTTCCTTGGGGATAACTGCAATTAGAAGTTTAAAAGCACATACATAAGATTTGGGGGGGGGAAACCAAAAATATTCTCAAAGAATAAGTAGGGTGTATAAATTTCAACCAAATGACATATTGAACAATTTTGTTTTGTTTCGATCAGATTACTTTTAGTCAGATAACATACCATGAGATCACCATCTTTTTTTTAAATAGCTCTAACTTCATTTATATATTTTTTATTTCTTATAAATGAGGAGCATCATATGCCAAAATCTGTCATCTGAAAAACCATCTAAGATTCTAGCAAGTTGAATTTTTGCAATCTTGGCATATTATTAAAGGATCTCATTTTTATATTATGTATTCCAACACATATTTGAATTGGTTTTGTATATGTTTGAATATTTTATGAGAAACCGTTACCTTACTGATTGAAGTTCTGATCTCTTTAGGACCTACTTATGGGCTTAACCTATTTTCTAACCTTAATTTTCATTATAGTTTCTTCATACACCTTGTGTTATAGCTATAATAGAGGTATTTTCTTTATGTAACTTGGTTTTCACATGCTTCTTCCCCCCAAATACATTAAACTAAAATTTACCTCCTTATAGCTTAATTTCCATATTGTCCTTGCCTATTATCAGAGCTTACTAAAGAAATAATAAAATTTTAATTTTGCTTTAATTCCTTTTCTCTGTGATATTGATAATTGGTATCAAGGTGAGTGGGAACTAGGAAGAAATGTGTTAAAGAGGTAAAATAAACTATTTGGGTAGCCCAGAAAAAAGATTAAAAACAATAAGCAATTGCTAAGAAATTTTGATTATGAATTATACTGTCTTTAAGGACGGAGAAAAGTGACAGCTTCAGTAAGTATGAACAGGAGATGTCAGATGGCTGAGGCTGACTCTGAAAGGTATGTCACATACATCTAGACCATGTAGAGGTGCTGACTTTTAATTTTGGTGTATAAAAAGAATGGCATGAATCACTATGTTGTATATTTTAAATGAATATAGTATTTTAAATCAATTTTATACTTCAATAAAAAAATTAAAAGGCAAACTACAATTATAACTAAGGAATAGCAAAATTTGAAGTTTTAACATAATGCTGAAAGTAAAAATTTGCTCCTCTGAAAAGTCATTTAAATCTTAGTAAATATTTAAACAAAATTAAAAAAATTTACAGTTTGCTTCTGGGGAGGAGAGAAACTCAGTATATAACAAGATAAACAGTGAAAACTAGTTAAATTTTGGATCTATGGTCTAAAGTTCCATTGTCAAGAGCATTAGACTTCCTATGGCTGCATCCTTTTCCTGTTACTGTCATGGCCTTGAGTACGAGACAGTCATCATCAGTATGTTCTCACAATTTGTATTTTTGTGTGTATCCTTCTAATTACATGATCATGTGTATGACTTCTAACCTTGACTTAGCAACCTCCTGAGATTGAGATTTGGGTCCTCTACATTTACAGTGATAGAATAATTCTGCGTATAATATGGATATATTAGTGATACAGTGTTTATTTTTGGTCTCTGCCAATTAAGCCACTGTTGGATAAGCTATGAGTTTGTGGCTGCCTTGTATTCATCTATTCACAGGTAAAATTGTAGTATGTATGTTTTCAGCATATAAATTTAGATTTTGACTAAACTTTTGGGAAATTTGCTATTTACAGTATTTTAGGAATTTTTTGCCTAAATCAAGAGAACTTAATTTCTTCACTTGAGTTCCCTCGAAGCCTTTGGCAGTTTTGATCCCTGTTTACTTATAAGCTTCATTACAAGTTTTCTTTTATATTTTCTTGCTGTATAACACCAAGTTCCATATAAATATAAAGAGAAATTAGCTAGGTTTTCCATGCCTCACTTTGAGATTTTATTTTAAGCTTAGTGGACTCAGGGTATCAATTACACACTGATAAAGTGACAGTCAGAAACAACATTTTATGTATAAATAAACTGTGGTTTTAAAGCTTGTCTTTAAATTGGTGTATTTTCAATATCTGTTTAGTGATGATGAAGTTCCAGAGCCAGAATCAGAAATGAAGGTGAGATTACCAAGACGAGCCAAAATAGCCGCACTGGCGAAAAGTAAACTCAACCTCGCGCAACTTCTTGATAAAGATACTGGTTAGGAGAAGAGACCGCGGAGGTGGGGTTCTTTTAAAGATGTCCTTTGAATTCTGTTCAGTTCTTTGCTTTAATAAAAAAATTACGCTTGTTTCAAAATTAGCAAAAGCCTGCTGTCTTGTAGGACTTCCTGCTGGGCGATTCCATATTATTTTGGCCTGTGTTGAAGCATTAGGACAGCATCTATCAGCACGCTCCACACGTCAGCGTCACTCAAGGGGATTCAATCAGAATCTAGGTGGGGTGTAGAAACCAGCATTTTAAAGAGGCTTCCCAGCTGATGCTTCTGAACACTCAATGTTTAAGATCAATGCATTATGGACAACTTTTAAATGTAACTAGCGAGTAGCCTATGTTTGAGAAGCTTATGATTTAGATGGGCAGAAACAACATAGATGAAAACACCTCAGAACACATTTAAAAAGCAGTATCTCAAGGGCAAATGAAGTACCACAAACTGACTAGAAGGAGTTTATTTCCAGAGAGAGACCTTGTATAATCATTCAAGGTACTCAGCATTTAATTGAACAGTTAAAATTTTCATAATTTTTTTTTGGTGATTCTTACACTAAAAACATTTTTGATAATGCTACCTGCATGGGTAATTTCTCTTCCTATATAATATTTGTATATGAAAGCTATAGTTTGCTTATGTTTTTGAAGGTGTTTCCTGGGTTAAGGGATATATTCACACGTATATATTATTCATTGAGTTGCTTTCTATGTTGTTGGTAAAACACAATCATAAATATTGTGGATAACAACAAACACCACCAGTGGAAAAGACTGATAGGAAGTCCTCTGTATACTAATTTATGAGCACTTTCTTCGCTGTCAGCTTATCTTCTGAAACTGGCACTTGCCTGACTTAACAAAATTTACAGTGTATGAGCTCAGCCCTTTCTTTCTGCAACACCCAACAAAACATCTTTCATCTGTCTGATAATTACCTTTTCTCTTTTTCAGAATAGAAATACCTTAACATTAGACCTGTCTTAGTAATTGTGCTTTTTAGGTTTGCCAGAGCCCAGAGATAACTAAATTAAGATTGTTGTGCTTTTTAGAATCAAATTGATGTATTACATACATTTCTGTGCTTTATAAAACTCAGAAATAAAAAAGAAGTCTGAAAGTTACAAGAATACTTATTAAGCAAAAGGAAAGGCAGACGTGGTGATACAAAATAATGGAAAACAGATGATTGTTGTTCATTGTTGGCTCTGTGTCTTTCCTGTGCTTCAAATTCCTTGTTAGTCTTTTGTTAAATCCCTGTCAGTCATTTAAATATAATTTTGGGAGCTGAAGTGTAGGGAGAAATGAGGACTTAAAAGGTACACAAAATATGCTATAAGGAAAAGTCGTCTTTAGAAAAAACCCCATTTACCCCATAGCCAGGTTACGCGAAGGGAAGGAGTCATGTTCTGTATACTTGCGTGGACCACCGTGCCGAAGCTTCTTTCTCTGGCACAGAATAGAAGTGAGCACCAAACCTTTAGTATTCTTACCTATTCAAGTTTTAGACACAAATCAGTCACATGTAGGCCGTTGCTAAAGCTATGCTTTTGCACTATTAGAGTTCAAAGGAATATTATATTGATTTCAAAAGACATCCCTTTACACCTTAAAATAAATGACTAAAATACAATGAAATCAACAGTTGTCGAGCCTTTTACCATTTTTTCATTTAAAACTGGTAACTCACACCAAACTGTTCTTGTCTGCAGGAGGCACAGATTTGCTAAAGAGTAAACATGCCATTGTGCCACTGCTTATAGCCCACAGATTTTATACGTTTATAAGTATAGAGAAAGAGAACTGATCAGCTTCAATTCTCCTATGAATGGAAACATGCTAACTTGATGATAAACTATGATCCATTTTCTTATATGTATAGAACTTTGAAGGGTTCACATCTAAGTGATACCTTTGCCTTTTACCAAATGGCTTCGAGGTAGTTGTTATCCACCTTGTTATACAGCTATTCATGGGTCAGGCCATCATCACAAATCTTTACTAGCCTTCTAAATCACATGATGCATTATATATATTAAAACTTTGTGTACAGAAATAAAATTGGGGACAAGTATTTAAACTTAGCGCATAAAAAAGTCACAAAATACCATTAAAAAGACAAAATCCATTTGTACTGCAAAATTTCACAATGCTCTGGTGTGAAACATGTAAAAGAAACATACAAAGAATATAATGAAAATGATTAACGCTAATGATTTAATATAAAGACAAATCACAGGACTAGAAATATTTCAAGATCGAAATGCTTATCGTTCTGCAGAGAGAAGATGGACATACAAAGGAAGGACAGTGAAGAACTTCAGTCTACTTCTCCTCAGGCTTGAGATTTTGGTTTTGAATTGGACAGCTCACTAGAGATGCTGCTGTCAAATTCAGATTCCATTCAATAGGACGATTAAGGCACATCTTAATAGGGCTCAGAGGGCAACTTGCTGTATTCCCATCGGACAAATTAAGTTTCTCATCAGTTTTCATTTGTAGCATGCTGGAAAAAGAAGTAAAACGTTTTAATTTCAAAGGAAATCATAAGTTTGTTTAAAAAAATCCATTAGTTTTATTGTTAGGACCTCTAGACATTACAGTAGAAAGAGCATTTATTGTCCAGAAGGTACAACAGGTTTTTTTTAATCTGCTTCCTTACTGAATACATATCTAAGTTAGTTAGACACTTAAAAGGTCATTCAGATACCACTAGACAAAAGTCTTCACTGCATATACAGATATCACCAGTATATCAGATAGGACATTTAACCTAGTGAGCTTGGCATGATTCAGTCCTTTTAACTTGCCCTTTAACCTACCAGGCTCAGAACCACTTTGAGACAAGAAGGAATTAACTTTTTTGAATGCCTACCATGTTCTTGGCACATTCACATACATTACCATATTTAAATTTCTTAGCAACCAAGCAAGGTTGGTATACTTACCCTCAAAATACATTAGAGTCTCAGAGTTAAGTACAGATATGCCTGAGGTTATACAGTCATTAGCCCGCAACTGGAATAGTGCTCGCTCTTTCCTGTATGCTTGTCTAGTAGCTTTCTGGCGATCAACTTCTTTAAAATTACAGAAATTTGGGAGTCCAAAGGGTAGCAAGTCCACTGCACATGTAGTCCCAAGTCTTAATATTAATGATAGTCAATTCACATCTTCATACTGGAATCCTTATGTTTATAAATTAATGCCGTGCTATACATAAGCTCTTTTGATACTTAAACTGATTAGTTTGGTTGGACTACATTCCTAAGCTTTCTCCAACCACAGGTCTGTCATTCTTCCTGTTAGTGTTGTGCAGCATTTAAAGGACTTGTTAGAGTTGGTAAATCCTGACTTCAGTCGCATTTTCCTGGTCCCTCCCTTGCAGCCTCAGCCACCTGACTGGCCATTCCACAAGCCAGAGTTAAGCTAATACACCATATTTTACAGCTATAATGTTCTCATGGAGTTCTCCCCAGACAGCCCCAGTTCCAGTGAATGACAGTTTCAACTTTTGTAAGTAGATGTGAAATAAAATTACAAAGTACAAGGTAGCTTAAAAGATTACTCACTAAAAATAGTAAATCACTTAAAAAAAACAAACAAATGGGAACATATTTAAAGTAAATCATGGCCTGGTAAGTGATGAGATCTGAAATACTATTTTCTCATATAAGAAATCATAAATGATTTCTGAAAATATTTACACTGGTTACTATTACACTGATGGCCTTGGACCTCAAATTTCTGTTTTCCAAGTTGCAATAAATGTTTTTCCTTTTTCCAAGGACTGTTAGTCTTCATATTTTTATTTGTATTTTCATAAAAAGTTTGATGCATGCCTCTGAGAAAATCTATTAAGTATAAAAATACAATTACATTAAGATAACTTGGTAGATATCATGTATCAAACTCCAAAAAAACCCATCAAATCATGGTCATAAAAATGAAATTATTTTGTTTACTCTTTAACTGACAAAGATGTATTCATCAGAGAATAATACTTAAAAGACAGTTTTTTAAAGTTATTTTTCTAGAGTGTACTCCATATCTGTGTGCACAAAACTACACATGCATGGGAAGAAAATATCCATTAGTTTAAAAGAAGAGCTAAATGTTAGTACTAATACACAGACATACATGTTTAATTCATTAATATACACTTTAAGAAACCCTGGTGTGCCAGCCCAGTCTGGGCACCACTCCTCCAGAATAGTAAGAATGAAGCTGTCCACTGGAGCGCTAGAGCCAGAGATGTTAGAACGGGTGCTTGGAAGGACCTTCCCAGACACCACCACCTTCACTCTCTAAGCGAAGCAAACTATAGGAAAATAGAAAAAATGCTTTTTCAGAGTGTCCTAACCAGATGAATGTGAACTAACATAACCACCTGGATCTCTAATTAATCTAGTACTCACCTGAGCACTTTTCAATTCCATTTTCTATACCAGATTATTTAACATTTATTGAGCACCCACTAGACAACACTTTTGGGATACAAAGATGAGGAAGACATACTCCATGCTTTCAAAGAATTTGTAATCTAGAGGAATTTTTAACAAATATTCCTTTATATTTGGAAATTAAAAATTTTACTAAGTTTTGTGGATTTTAATGACAGGAATTTGTAGTATAAATTATATACCTTTGTACTACTGAAAGATTAATAAACATTCCTCAACTTTGTTGTAATTTTTAAGCAGTTTCTTTTGTGTGTTTTAAAAATAGGTTATAAGTTCGTAATATTAAAAAATCAGTCACTACAAAATGTAATACAATGAAGTCTCTCACTGCTCCTGTCCTAGAAGCAACTACTGTTACCAGTTTCTTGCGTATTCTTCCAGATAGTTGAAATACAGGCTAGTGTAAATAAACTATCCTTTCTGTCTACAGAATTCTGTATATTGTTCTGTATCTTGCTTGAAAAAAATTTATTTTGGGGATTGTTTCATATCTACACAATGCATACTTGACTGTTTTAACAGCTGACTGAATTCCACGCTGATGATACACAATTTACTTTGCTAG